AATCCCTAAAAATCCCCCCAAAAAATCCCAATATTTTCTAAAAAATACCCAAAAAATTCAAAAAAATTCCCCAAATTTCCCTAAAAAATTCTAAAAAAAATTCCCAAAAATTCCCAAAAAAATCCCAAAATTTCCCTTAAAAATTCTAAAAAAAATCCCCAAAAATCCCAAAAAAATCCCAAAAAAATCCCAAAAAATCCTTAAAAAAATCCCCAAAAAAATCCCAAAAAAATTTTTAAAAAATCCCAAAAAATCCTTAAAAAAAATCCCCAAAAAATCCCAAAAAATCCCAAAAAGTCCCCCAAAAAATCCCAAAATTCCCTAAAAAATTCTAAAAAAAATCCTAAAAAAATCCCAAAATTTGCCTAAAAAATCCTAAAAAAATCTAAAAAAAATCCCAAAAAAATCCTCAAAAATCCAAAAAAAAATCCCAAAAAATCCCCAAAATTTCCCCAAAAAATCCCTAAAAAATCCTAAAAAAATCCCCAAAAATCCCAAAAAAATCCCAAAATTTCCCTAAAAAATTCTAAAAAAAATCCCCAAAAAATCCCAAAAATCCCAAAATTCCCAAATTCCCCCCAAATCCCCGCACTCACTGCGCCGCGCCCCGAGCGTCCCCAGCAGCAGCAGCAGCGTCACCGCCAGGGCCACCAGGGCCACCAGGGCCACCAGGGCCACCCTCGGTGTCACCCGCGGGGTCACCCGCGGGGTGGGGGAGGGGCGCGCCTTGGGGGGCGGCCCCGCGGTGGGGGAGGGGTCCAGGGGCTCGTAGGGGTCCTCGTCGGGGGGGGGGCGGGGACGGCCTGGGGGGACACGGAGGGGACAGGGAGGGGACAGGGAGGGGACACAGGGAGGGGACACAGGGGACAGGGAGGGGACAATGAGGGGACAGCACTGGTGGCATTTGGGGACACCTAAAGGGGTTGGGGACAGTTCTGGGGACATTTCAAGGGGTTGGGGACAGCTGTGGTGGCACTTGGGGACACATTTGGAGGGGCTGGGGACAGTTCTGGAGACATCTAAAGGGGTTTGGGACAGATTTGGGGACATCCAAAGGGGTTGGGGACAGCTGTGGTGGCACTTGGGGACACATAAAGGGGTTGGGGACATCCTTGGGGACATCCAAAGGGGTTGGGGACAGCTCTGGTGGCACCTGGGGACACATTTGGGCACACCTGGAGGGGTTGGGGACAGCTCTGGTGGCACTTGGGGACATCCAAAGGGGTTGGGGACATTTCTGGGGACATCTAAAGGAGTTGGGGACAGGTCGGGGGACATCCAAAGGGGTTGGGGACATCCTTGGGGACATCTAATGGGGTTTGGGACACCTCTGGTGGCACTTGGGGACACATTTGGAGGGGCTGGGGACAGTTCTGGGGACATCCTTGGGGACATCTCAAGGGGTTGGGGACAGTTCTGGGGACATCTCAAGGGGTTGGGGACAGCTGTGGTGGCACTTGCGGACACATTTGGGGACACATTTGGGGACATCCAAAGGGGTTGAGGACAGAGCTGGTGGCACTTGGGGACACCTGGAAGGGTTGGGGACAGGTTTGGGGACATCCAAAGGGGTTGGGGACACCTCTGGTGGCACTTGGGGACATTTGGAGGGGCTGGGGACAGTTCTGGGGACATCCTTGGGGACATCTCAAGGGGTTGGGGACACATTTGGGGACATCTACAGCAGTTGGGGACAGCTCTGGTGGCACTTGGGGACACCTAAAGGGGTTGGGGACAGGTTTGGGGACACCTAAAGGGGTTGGGGAGAGCTCTGGTGGCACTTGGGGACACATTTGGGGACACCTAAAGGGGTTGGGGACAGCTCTGGTGGCACTTGGGGACAGGTCTGGGGACATCCAAAGGGGTTGGGGACAGGTTTGGGGACATCTAAAAGAGGTTGGGGACAGCACTGGTGGCACTTGGGGATATCTCAAGGGGTTGGGGACAGCTGTGTTGGCACTTGGGGACAGTTCTGGGGACACCTAAAGGGGTTGGGGACACCTCTGGTGCCACTTGGGGACATCTAAAGGGGTTGGGGACATTTCTGGGGACATCTGGAAGGGTTGGGGACAGTTCTGGGGACATCCAAAGGGGTTGGGGACAGAGCTGGTGGCACCTGGGGACACCTTTGGGGACATTTGGAGGGGTTGGGGACAGCCCTGGTGGCACCTGGGGACACCCCCAGGGGTTGGGGACAGCTGCCAGGTGCCACCACCCACCCTGGGGACACCTTTTGGTCACCTGGGACAGGGAGGTGACATCGAGGACAGGACAGGGGAGGTGACATCGAGGAGACGGAGGTGACACTGAGGTGACATCGGGGATGGGGAGGTGACACCAATGATGGGGAGGTGACATTAAGGTGACATCGAGGATGGGGAGGTGACACTGAAGTGACACCGGGGACAGGACAGGGGAGGTGACATCGGGGACAGGGAGGTGACACTGGGGATGGGACAGGGGAGGTGACACTGAGGACAGGGAAGTGACGAGGTGACATTGGGGACAGAGAGGTGACAGTGAGGTGACAGCAAGGACAGGACAGGACCAGGGAGGTGACACCAAGGACAGGGAGGTGACACTGAGGTGACATTGGGGACATTGAGGTGACACCGAGGATGGGGAGGTGACACTGAGGTGACATTGGGGACAGAAGATGACATTGGGGACAGGACAGGGAGGTGACATCGGGGACAGGGAGGTGACACCAATGATGGGAAGGTGACATTAAGGTGACACCAAGGACAGGGAGGTGACACTGAGGTGACACCAGGGACAGGATGGGGAGGTGACATTAAGGTGACATCGAGGACATTGAGGTGACACCAAGGATGGGGAGGTGACACTGAGGTGACACCGGGGACAGGACAGGGGAGGTGACACTGGGGACAGAAGATGACATTGGGGACAGGACAGGCAGGTGACACTGAGGTGACACCAATGATGGGGAGGTGACATTAAGGTGACACTGGGGACATGGAGGTGACACCAAGGATGGGGAGGTGACATTGAGGTGACACCAGGGATAGGACAGGGAGGTGACACTGAGGACAGGGAAGTGACGAGGTGACACCAAGGACACTGAGGTGACATTGGGGACAGGACAGGGAGGTGACACTGAGGTGACACCAAGGACAGGACAGGACCAGGGAGGTGACGCCAAGGACAGGGAGGGGACACTGAGGTGACATTGGGGACATTGAGGTGACACCGAGGATGGGGAGGTGACACTGAGGTGACATTGGGGACACTGAGGTGACACTGGGGACATCAGTGGCCGTACCTTCCCCGGCTGCCCAGGCTGTGTCCAGCGCCGTCTCCACGTTCCCGTACATTGTCCCCAATGTCCCCAACGTCCCCAATGTCCCCAACCGTGTCCCCAACGTCCCCAGCCCTGTCCCTGCTGATAACGCCCGCAGGGGACAAGGGGGGGACAGGATGTGGCCTCGGTGTCCCCTCCCTGTGGTGGCCTCGGTGTCCCCTCCCTCCCTGTCCCAATGGAGGTGGCACCAGGGCACTGTCCCCAACCTGGGCTTGGCCGGGGTGGCACCAAATGTCACCAAGGTGTCCCCAAGGCCAAGGTGTCCCCAAGGATGTCCCCAGGGTGTCCCTGTCACCACCCCAAGGGTGTCCCTGTCACCGTGGTGTCCCCAAGGGTGTCCCTGTCACCAAGCCCAGGGTGTCCCCAAGGGTGTCCCCAGGGTGTCACTGTCACCTGGGTGTCCCTGCCACCAGGATGTCCCCAAACCAAGGGGGTGTCCCTGTCACCTGGGTGTCCCCCAGGGTGGTGTCCCCAAGGCTGGGATGTCCCCAGGGTGGTCACCATGGTGTCCCTGTCACCTGGGTGTCCCCAGGGTGTCCCCAAGGGTGTCCCTGTCCCCAGGGTGTCCCCAAGGGTGTCCCTGTCACCGGGGTGTCCCCAAGCCCCTGTCCCTGTCCCCAAGGTGTCCCCATTGCTGTGTCACAGGGTCCCTGTCCCCAAGGTGTCCCCAGGCCCCTGTCCCTGTCCCCAGGGTGTCCCCACAGTGTCCCCGAGCCCCTGTCCCTGTCCCCAAGCCCTGGCTGTCCCTGTCCCCAAGGGGGGGTGGCACTGTCCCCACAGTGTCCCCACAGTGTCCCCACGGTGTCCCCACAGTGTCCCCACAGTGTCCCCAGCCCCGCCCCTGATGTCCCCGGATGTCCCCAGGGCCCCACAGGAAGAGCCGGGCGCTATCGGCCCCGGCCAGACCCGGCCACCTCCTGTCACCAAATGTCACCAAGTGTCACCAAATGTCCCCTCAGTGTCACCTCCTGTCCCCTGGGTCACCAAATGTCCCCTCAGTGTCCCCTCAGTGTCCCCACAGTGTCCCCACAGTGCACCCTCACACACTGAGGGGACACTTGGGGACACTGAGGTGACATTGAGGGAACACTGAGAGGGCGTTTGGTGACATCGGGTGACATTTGGTGACACTGAGGGGACATTTCAGAACACTGAGGGGACACGGGGAACATTCGGGTGACATTTGGGGACACTGAAGGGACCTTTGGGGACATTTGGGGACACTGAGGTGACACACGCAGCGCGGTCGCCATTGCCGTCCCCACATTTCCCGCCCCCAAGCCGAGCCGCGTTGCGATTGGTAGATGCTGCTGATTGACACACGTGCGGACCAATCGGAAGCGAGCACCGCCCAAACGCGGAAGTGCTGGCCTTCAAGATGGAGTGTCCCACCCCCTCAGCACTGTGATTGGTTGGGACTCCTGATTGATAGGCGAGCGGGCCAATAAAAAGAGGTCCAGAAACCGCGTTTCGATTGGCTTCTCATTTTAATTGACGCAAACGAGGGCTAATCAGAACAAAGCACCGCCCAAACCAGGAAGAAAAACACCTCAGGAAGGGTCTCATCCCCTCCGCTCTGTGATTGGCTGATCCCTCTGATTGACAGCCCCAGCAACCAATCACCACCGCGCGCCCCCAAACCCGGAAGCGCTGATGTAAAGCCCAAAACCCGGGAACATTTTGAGGCAAAACCGAGAAATTTTGGGATTTTCCTTTTTTATTTTCATTCCCTCTCCTCGGGCAGCGCCTTCTGGGGCCTCTTCTGCAGCAACTTCCGCGCTGGGGATCCCTGCAGCCTCCGGAACGCTCTGGAAGCTGCAAAAAAAAAACCCCCAAAAATTTCCCGCCCAGAATTTCCAGGATTTTGGCCAATTTTGGGCGAATTTTTGTGGGTTTTTTTTCTCACCCAGCTGCTCCGAGAGGCCGCTGAGGAAGCTCCTGCTCTGCTGGTGGAATTCCAGCACCATTTTCCCGGCTTGTTGTGCCTCATCCACCTGGGAAAAATCCAAAAATTCCCCAAAAAATCGCCAAAAATCGGGGGGAAATTGGGGGATTTTGCCAAATTTGGGGTTTTTTGCCCCAGAATTCTGACCAGGAGGCGGAGCTGGTGCAGGGCCGGGCGCTGCTGGGCCAGGACGGAGCCGTAGTCGGGTCTGGGGCCCGGGAGGGGGGAGGGGAGAGCGGGGGGAGGGGCAAAGGGGGCGGGGCCAGAGCGGAGCTGCTGCAGAAACCTGGGGGGAAAATGGGGGAAAAAATGGGGATTTTGGGCAAAATGGGGAAAATGGGGGAAATGGGGATTTTGGGGAAAATGGGGAAAATGGGGATTTGGGGGAAATGGGGAAAATGGGGAAAAATGGGGATTTTGGGGGAAAAATGGGGATTTTGGGGAAATGGGGAAAAATGGGGGAAATGGGGATTTTGGGAAAATGGGGGGAAATGGGGGAAAATGGGGGAAAAATGGGGATTTTGGGAAAATGGGGGAAATGGGGGAAAATGGGGGAAATGGGGGAAAAATGGGGATTTTGGGGAAAAATGGGGGAAAATGGGAAAAATGGGGAAAAATGGGGGAAATGGGGATTTTGGGCAAAATGGGGAAAAATGGGGGAAAAAATGGGGATTTTGGGGAAATGGGGGGAAAATGGGGGAAAATGGGGATTTTGGGCAAATGGGGAAAAATGGGGGAAAATGGGGATTTGGGAAAAAATGGGGATTTTGGGGGAAAAATGGGGATTTTGGGGAAAATGGGGGGAAAATGGGGATTTTGGGCAAAATGGGGGAAAATGGGGGAAAATGGGGATTTTGGGAAAATGGGGGGAAAATGGGGCAAAATGGGGATTTTGGGGAAAATGGGGATTCTGGGGGAAATGGGGAAAATGGGGATTTTGGGGAAAAATGGGGATTTTGGGCAAAACGGGGAAAATGGGGAATAAAAATGGGGATTTGGGGAAAATGGGGATTTTGGGGAAAAATGGGGATTTTGGGCAAAATGGGGGGAAATGGGGAATAAAAATGGGGATTTGGGGGGAATGGGGATTTTGGGGATCAGTGTGGGAATTTTGGGGATGAATGTGGGGATTTTGGGGATAAAAGGGGGAATTTGGGGTTAAAGAGGGGAATTTTGGGGTTAAAGAGGGGAATTTGGGGTTAGAAAGGGGAATTTGGGGTTAAAGGGGGAATTTTGGGGTTCAAAAGGGGAATTTTGGGGATAAATGTGGGGATTTGGGATAAAAGGGGGAATTTTGGGGATAAATTTGGGAATTTTGGGGGCTCAAAGGGGGAATTTGGGGATTTGAGGTGGGAAATGTGGGAATTTTGGGGATCAACGTGGGGAATTTGGGGATAAAAGGGGAAATTTTTGGGGATAAATTTGGGAATCTGAGGATTTTGGAGTTCAATGTGTGAATTTTGGGATTAAAGGGGGAATTTGGGGTTCGAAAGGGGAATTTGGGGCTCCCTGTGGGATTTTGGGGACAAATGTGGGAATTTTGGGGTTAAAAAGGGGAATTTGGGGTTCAAAAGGGGAATTTTGGGGACCAATGTGTGAATTTTGGGGATCAAAAGTGGAATTTTGGGATTAAAGGGGGAATTTTGGGGTTCAAGAGGGGAATTTGGGGTTCAAAAGGGGAAATTGGGGTTCAAAAAGGGAATTTGGGGATCCCTGTGGGATTTTGGGGACAAATGTGGGAATTTTGGGATTAAAGGGGGAATTTGGGGTTCAAAAGAAGAATTTTGGGGTTCAAAAGGGGAATTTGGGGTTAAAGGGGGAATGTGGGGTTCAAAAGGGGAATTTTGGGATTAAAGGGGGAATTTTGGGGATCAATGTGGGAATTTTGGGGAAATTTGAGGTTCAAAAGGGGAATTTTGGGGACCAATGTGTGAATTTTGGGTTCAATGTGTGAATTTTGGGGTTCAATGTGGGATTTTTGGGGTTCAATGTGTGAATTTTGGGGTTCAATGTGTGATTTTTGGGGTTCCATGTGGGATTTTTGGGGCTCCCTGTGCCCTCTCACCCCGAGGTCTCCTGGCTGCGCTCCCGGTGCTGCTGCAGGAGCCGATCCCAGGCCTGGAGCTCCCCTGAGAGACTGAGGGGACAGCAGGGGACAGACGGACAGACAGACGGACACAGGGGACAGGAGGGGACAGAGGGACAGTGGGGACACAGGGACAGAGGGGACAGACGGACACAGGGACAGAGGGGACAGAGGGACAGAGGGACAGACGGACACAGGGACAGGGACAGACGGACACAGGGACAGGGGGACAGACGGACACAGGGGACAGGGGGACACAGGGACAGGGACAGGGACAGACAGACAGGGACAGACAGACACAGGGACAGAGGGACAGAGGGACAGGGACAGGGGGACAGGGACAGAGGGGACAGACAGACACAGGGACAGACGGACAGAGGGACAGAGGGACAGAGGGACAGAGGGACAGAGGGACAGGGACACAGGGACAGACGGACACAGGGACACAGGGACAGGGACAGACGGACACAGGGACAGACGGACACAGGGACAGGGGGACACGGGGACAGAGGGAGAGGGACAGGGACAGACGGACAGAGGGACAGGGGGACACAGGGACAGGGACAGGGGGACAGGGACAGGGGGACAGACGGACACAGGGACAGGGACAGAGGGACAGAGGGACACAGGGACAGAGGGGACAGACAGACACAGGGACAGGGACAGAGGGACGCAGGGGACAGGGACAGACAGACACAGGGGACAGAGGGACAGGGACAGAGGGACACAGGGACAGAGGGACAGGTGTGTCCCAGGTGTCCCCAAGTGTGTCCTTCATGTCCCCAGGTGTGTCCCAGGTGTCCCCTCCCCACTCCAGGTGTCCCCAAGTCCCACCAGGTGTCCCCAAAGTCTCCAAATTTGTCCCAGCTGTCCCCAAGTTTGTCCCAGATGTCCCCCAGGTGTCCCCAATGTCCCCAGGTGTGTCCCAGGTGTCCCCTCCCCACTCCAGGTGTGCCCCAGGTGTCCCCAGGTGTGTCCCACATGTCCCCAAGGTGTCCCCAGGTCTGTCCCGGGTGTCCCCAGGGGTCTCCTTCCCACTCCAGGCATGTCCCAGGTGTCCCCAAGTGTGTCCCCAATGTCCTCTGGTGTCCCCAGGTGTGTCCCAAATGTCCCCTCCCCACTCCAGGTGTGTCCCCAGGTGTCTCAGGTGTGTCCCCAAAGTGTCCCCAGGTGTCCCTAAGGTGTCCCAGGTGTGTCCCAAATGTCCCCCAGGTGTCCCCTCCCCACTCCAGGTGTCCCCAGGTGCATCCCCCAAGTGTGTCCTTGATGTCCTTAGGGGTGTCCCAGCTGTCCCCAAGGTGTCCCCAGCTCTGTCCCAGCTCTGTCCCAGGTGTCCCCAATGTCCCCAAGGTGTCCCCAAGGGTCCCCAGGTGTGTCCCAGCTGTCCCCAAGGTGTCCCCAATGTCCCCAAGGTGTCCCCAACCCGTCCTTAGGGGTGTCCCAGGTGTCCCCAAGGTGTCCCCCAGGTGTGCCCCAGATGTCCCAGGTGTCCCCAAGTTTGTCCCAAGGTGTCCCTAAGTGTCCCCAGGTGAGTCCCAGATGTCCCCAGGTGTGTCCCAGGTGTCCCCCAGCTGTCCCCAACGTGTCCCAGCTGTCCCCAGCTGTCCCCACGGTGTCCCCAATGTCCCCAGGTGTGTCCCAGGTGTCCCCAGGTTTGTCCCACGTGTCCCCAGTGTCCCCAATGTCCCCAATGTGTCCTTAGGGGTGTCCCCAATGTCCCCAAGGTGTCCCCAGGTGTGTCCCAGGTTTGTCCCAGGTGTCCCCAAGATGTCCCCCAGATGTCCCCAATGTCCCCAAGGTGTCCCCAGGTGTCCCCCAGGTGTCCCCAAGATGTCCCCAAGTTTGTCCCAGGTGTCCCCAAGGGTCCCCGGTGTCCCCAATGTCCCCAAGGTGTCCCCAGGTTTGTCCCAGGTGTCCCTTATGTCCCCAAGGTGTCCCCAGGTGAGTCCCAGCTGTCCCCATGGTGTCCCCAATGTCCCCAGGTGTGTCCCAGGTGTCCCCAATGTCCCCAAATTGTCCCCAACCTGTCCTTAGGTGTGTCCCAAATGTCCCCAGGTGTCCCCAAGGTGTCCCCAAGGTGTCCCCAGGTGAGTCCCAGATGTCCCCCAGGTGTCCCCAATGTCCCCAGGTGTCCCCAACGTGTCCTTAGGGGTGTCCCAGCTGTCCCCAGGTGTCCCCAATGTCCCCAAGGTGTCCCCAGCTGTCCCCAGGTGTCCCCAATGTCCCCAAGGTGTCCCCAGGTGTCCCCCAGGTGTCCCCAAGATGTCCCCAATGTCCCCAAGGTGTCCCCAGGTTTGTCCCAGGTGTCCCCAAGGTGTCCCAGCTGTCCCCAGGTGTCCCCAAGGTGTCCCCCAGGTGTGTCCCAGGTGTCCCCAGGTTTGTCCCAGGTGTCCCCAGGTGTCCCCAAGATGTCCCCAATGTCCCCAGGTGTGTCCCAGCTGTCCCCAAGGTGTCCCCAGGTGTGTCCCAGGTGTCCCCAAGGTGTCCCCAAGGTGTCCCCAGGTGTCCCCAAGTTTGTCCCAGCTGTCCCCAGGTGTCCCCAATGTCCCCAAGGTGTCCCCAGGTGTGTCCCAGGTGTCCCCAAGGTGTCCCCAAGATGTCCCCAAGGTGTCCCCAATGTCCCCAAGTTTGTCCCAGGTGTCCCCAGTGTCCCCAAGGTGTCCCCAGGTGTCCCCAATGTCCCCAGGTGTCCCCAAGGTGTCCCCAAGATGTCCCCAATGTCCCCAGGTGTGTCCCAGGTGTCCCCAAGATGTCCCCAGGTGTCCCCAATGTCCCCAACGTGTCCCAGCTGTCCCCAGCTGTCCCCACGGTGTCCCCAATGTCCCCAGGTGTGTCCCAGGTGTCCCCAGGTTTGTCCCACGTGTCCCCAGTGTCCCCAATGTCCCCAATGTGTCCTTAGGGGTGTCCCCAATGTCCCCAAGGTGTCCCCAGGTGTGTCCCAGGTTTGTCCCAGGTGTCCCCAAGATGTCCCCCAGATGTCCCCAATGTCCCCAAGGTGTCCCCAAGATGTCCCAGGTGTCCCCAATGTCCCCAATGTGTCCTTAGGGGTGTCCCCAATGTCCCCAAGGTGTCCCCAGGTGTGTCCCAAATGTCCCCAAAGTGTCCCCCAGGTGTCCCCAAGGGTCCCAGGTGTGTCCCAAATGTCCCCAGGTGTGTCCTTGATGTCCCCAGGTGTGTCCCAGCTGTCCCCAATGTCCCCAAGGTGTCCCCAGGTTTGTCCCAGGTGTGTCCCAGGTGTCCCCAACCCGTCCTTAGGGGTGTCCCAGGTGTCCCCCAGGTGTCCCCAGGTGTGTCCCAAATGTCCCCAGGTTTGTCCCAGGTGTCCCCAGTGTCCCCAATGTGTCCTTAGGGGTGTCTCCAATGTCCCCAGGTGTGTCCCAGGTGTCCCCAATGTCCCCAAGGTGTCCCCAAGGGTCCCAGGTGTGTCCTTGATGTCCCCAGGTGTGTCCCAGCTGTCCCCAATGTCCCCAAGGTGTCCCCAGGTGAGTCCCAGGTGTCCCCAACCTGTCCTTAGGGGTGTCCCAGGTGTGCCCCAGATGTCCCAGGTGTCCCCAAGTTGTCCCTAAATGTCCCCAAGGTGTCCCCAATGTCCCCAAGGTGTCCCCAGGTGAGTCCCAGATGTCCCCCAGCTGTCCCCAACGTGTCCTTAGGGGTGTCCCAGGTGTCCCCAGGTGTCCCCAAGATGTCCCCAATGTCCCCAGGTTTGTCCCAGGTGTCCCAGGTGTCCCAAATGTCCCCAATGTGTCCTTAGGGGTGTCCCCAATGTCCCCAGGTGTCCCCAGGTGTGTCCCAGGTTTGTCCCAGGTGTCCCCAGTGTCCCCAGTGTCCCCAATGTGTCCTTAGGGGTGTCCCCAATGTCCCCAGGTGTCCCCAAGATGTCCCCAATGTCCCCACCTGGCCATGAGCAGCTTCACCTGCCCCACGGGTCCCTCCAGGGCCGGATCCAGGCAATCCCTGCGGGAAAGGACCCAAAATTCCCCAAAAATTCCCCAATTCTGGGGCAAATCCAGTGAGAATTCCCAAATTTCAGGGCAAACCTACAGAAAATCCCTAAAAATTCCCAAATTTTGGGGCAAATCCAGAGAAAATTCACTAAAAATTCCCAATTTTTTGTTCTTTCTCCCCTTTCCAAACCCAAAAATTCCCATTTTTGGGGCATTTTTTGGGGTTTTCCATGGATTTTCCCCTTTCCAACCCCAAAATTCCCCAATTTTTTGTTCTTTTTTCCCATCCTATCCTAAAAATTCCCAATTTTTTTTTTTAATTTTTCTGGATTTTTTCCCCATTCCAAACCCCAAAATTCCCAATTTTTTTTTTTTTAATTTTTTTGTTCTTTTTTCCCCTTTCCAAACCCCAAAATTCCCAATTTTCCCCCTTTTCCATCCCCAAAATTCCCAATTTTTTGGTTCTTTTTTCCCTTTCCCAACCCCAAAATTCCCAATTTTTTCCCCTTTCCCAACCCCAAATTCACAATTTTTGGTTCTTTTTTCCCCTTTTCCAAACCCCAAAATTCCCAATTTCTTAAAATTTTCCTGGATTTTTTTCCCCTTTCCCAACCCCAAAATTCCCAATTTTTTCCCCTTTTCAAACCCCAAAATTCCCAGTTTTTGGTTTTTTCCCTTTTCCAACCCCAAAATTCCCAATTTTTTCTTCTTTTTTCCCCTTTCCAACCCCAAAATTCCCAATTTTTTTTCCCTTTCCCAAACCCCAAATTCCCAATTTTTCCCCTTTTCCAACCCCAAAATTCCCATTTTTTGGGTTTTTTTTCCCTTTCCCAAACCCCAAAATTCCCAATTTTTTTTTAGAATTTTTCTGGATTTTTTCCCCTTTCCAAACCCCAAAATTCCCAATTTTTTCCCCTTTTCCACCCCCAAAATTCCCATTTTTGGTTCTTTTCCCTTTTCCACGCTGAATTTCCCCAATTTTGGGTTTTTTGCCCCAACTCCTCACCCTGGGGCTGGTTCCAGGCAGTTCCTGAGGGTCCCATCCTGGAGCAGCCTCTGCAGGAGCCTCTGCAGCTGCTCCGAGCCCTTCAGCGCTGGCAAATAGGAAAAATATTCATTAATTAATTGAAAATCAGCCGGAATTAATTAATTACCAATTATCCATTAATTACTAATTCATCCTAGTGGGATTTAGGGGTTTAGGGGCATTTTCCCGATTGATTTGTACCCAAAATTCCCCAATTTTGGAGGAATCAGGAACCCCCAGGAGCTTTTCTGATTCCCCCAATAATTAATTAATAATTAATTATCAATTAATTGTTAATTATTTATTAATTAATTGCTAATTAATTCCATTTTTTCTCATTTTCCCGATTATTTTTTACCCAAATTCCCCAATTTTGGAGGAATCAGGAACCCCCAGGAGCTTTTTTAATCCCCCAAATTAATTAATTATTAATTATGAATTAATTATCAATTAATTGTCAATTAATGATTAATTAATGGTTAATTAATTCCATTTTTTCTCATTTTCCCGGTTATTTTTTACCCAAATTCCCCAATTTTGGAGGAATCAGGAACCCCCAGGAATCCCCCAGGAGCTTTTTTAATTCCTCCCCCCCAATTAATTAGCGATTAATTATGAATTAAACGTTAATTAATTCCATTTTTTCTCATTTTCCCGATTATTTTTTACCCAAATTCCCCAATTTTGGAGGAATCAGGAACCTGCAGGAGCGTTTTTAATTTTCCCCCACAATTAATTAGTGATTAATTATCAATTAACCGTTAATTAATTGATAATTAGTTGATAATTAATGGTTAATTAATTCAACTTTTCTCATTTTCCCGATTATTTTTTACCCAAAATTCCCCAATTTTGGAGGAATCAGGAACCCCCAGGAGCTTTTCTGATTCCCCCAATAATTAATTAATAATTAATTATCAATTAATTGTTAATTATTTATTAATTAATTGCTAATTAATTCCATTTTTTCTCATTTTCCCGGTTATTTTTTACCCAAATTCCCAAAATTTTGGAGGAATCAGGAACCCCCAGGAATCCCCCAGGAGCTTTTTTAATTCCCCTCCCCAATTAATTATCGATTAATTATTAATTAAATGTTAATTAATTCAATTTTTTCTCATTTTCCCGATTATTTTTTACCCAAATTTTGGAGGAATCAGGAACACCCAGGAGATTTTTTGATTTTCCCCCAATTAATTAATTAATAATTAATTACCAATTAATGGTTAATTAATGGTTAATTAATTCCATTTTTTCTCATTTTCCCGATTTTTTTTTACCCAAACTCCCCAATTTTAGAAGAATCAGGAAGCCCCAGGAGCTTTTCTGATTCCCCCAATAATTAATTAATAATTAATTATCAATTAATTGTTAATTATTTATTAATTAATTGCTAATTAATTCCATTTTTTCTCATTTTCCCGATTATTTTTTACCCAAATTCCCGAATTTTGGAGGAATCAGGAACCCCCAGGAGCTTTTTTGATTGCCCCCCCAATTAATTATTGATTAATCGTTAATTAATTATTAATTAATTGCTAATTAATTCCATTTTTTCTCATTTTCCCGATTATTTTTTACCCAAATTCCCCAATTTTGGAGGAATCAGGAACCCCCAGGACCCTTTTTGACCCCCCCAATAATTAACTAATAATTAATTATCAATTAATTGTTAATTAATTATTAATTAATTGCTAATTAATTCAATTTTTTTCTCATTTTCCCAATTATTTTTTACCCGAATTTTGGAGGAATCAGGAACCCCCAGGAGCTTTTTGAATTCCTCCCCCCTCAATTAATTATCGATTAATTATGAATTAAACGTTAATTAATTCCATTTTTTCTCATTTTCCCGATTATTTTTACCCAAATTCCCCAATTTTGGAGGAATCAGGAACCCCCAGGAGTGTTTTTAATTTCCCCCCAATGAATTATAGCTTAATTATTAATTGATTATTGATTAATTATTAATTAATTCCTAATTAATTAATTGGTTAATTATTAATTAACTGCTAATTAATTCCATTTTTTCTCATTTTCCCGATTATTTTTTACCCAAATTCCCCAATTTTGGAGGAATCAGGAACCCCCAGGAGCTTTTTTAATCCCCCAAATTAATTAATTATTAATTATGAATTAATTGTCAATTAATTGTCAATTAATGATTAATTAATGGTTAATTAATTCAATTTTTTCTCATTTTCCTGGTTATTTTTTACCTAAATTCCCCAATTTTGGAGGAATCAGGAACCCCCAGGAGTTTTTTTAATCCCCCGAATTAATTAATTATTAATTATGAATTAATTATCAATTAATTGTCAATTAATGATTAATTAATGGTTAATTAATTCCATTTTTTCTCATTTTCCCGATTATTTTTTACCCAAATTCCCGAATTTTGGAGGAATCAGGAACCCCCAGCAGCTTTTTTAATTTTCCCCCAAGTAATGATTAATTATAAATTATTAATTAGTTATTAATTAATCGCTAATTAATTCAATTTTTTTCTCATTTTCCCGATTATTTTTTACCCAATTTCCCCAATTTTGGAGGAATCAGGAACCCCCAGGAGCTTTTTTAATTCCCCCCCAATTAATTACTAATTAATCGTTAATTAATTATTAATTAATCGATCATTAATTCCATTTTTTCTCATTTTCCTGATTATTTTTTACCCAAACTCCCCAATTTTGGAGGAATCAGGAACCCCCAGGAGTGTTTTTAATTTTCCCCCAATTAATTAGTGATTAATTATCAATTAACCGTTAATTAATTGATAATTAGTTGATAATTAATGGTTAATTAATTCAACTTTTCTCATTTTCACGATTATTTTTTACCCAAATTCCCGAATTTTTGAGGAATCAGGAACCCCCAGGAGCTTTTTGAATTCCTCCCCCCAATTAATTAGTGATTAATTATGAATTAAACGTTAATTAATTCCATTTTTTCTCATTTTCCCGATTATTTTTTACCCAAAATTCCCCAATTTTGGAGGAATCAGGAACCCCCAGGAGCTTTTTTAATCCCCCAAATTAATTAATTATTAATTATGAATTAATTATCAATTAATTGTCAATTAATGATTAATTAATGGTTAATTAATTCCATTTTTTCTCATTTTCCCGGTTATTTTTTACCCAAATTCCCCAGTTGTGGAGGAATCAGGAACCCCCAGGAGTTTTTTTAATCCCGCAAATTAATTAATTATTAATTATGAATTAATTATGAATTAATTGTCAATTAATTGTCAATGAATTACTAATTAATGGTTAATTAATTCCAATTTTTCTCATTTTCCCGATTATTTTTTACCCAAATTCCCCAATTTTGGAGGAATCAGGAACCCCCAGGAGCTTTTTTGATTTTCCCCCAATTAATGATTAATTATAAATTATTAATTAGTTATTAATTAATCGCTAATTAATTCCATTTTTTCTCATTTTCCCGATTATTTTTTACCCAAATTCCCCAATTTTGGAGGAATCAGGAACCCCCAGGAATCCCCCAGGAGCTTTTTTAATTCCTCCCCCCAATTAATTATCGATTAATTATTATTAAACGTCAATTAATTCCATTTTTTCTCATTTTCCCGATTATTTTTTACCCGAATTTTGGAGGAATCAGGAACACCCAGGAGCTTTTTTGATTTTCCCCAATTAATTATTGATTAATCGTTAATTAATTGTTAATTAATTCAAATTTTTCTCATTTTCCCAATTATTTTTTACCCGAAGTTTGGAGGAATCAGGAACCCCCAGGACCCTTTTTGATCCCCCCCAATAATTAAATAAAAATTAATTAATAATAATTAATTGTCAACTAATTAATAATAATTAATGATCGATTAATTATTCCTGAATTTCGCTGTTTTTTCCCCCCAAATTCCCGAATTTTGGAAGAATCAGGAACCCCCAGGAGCTTTTTGATCCCCCCCCAATAATTAAATAAAAATTAATAAATAATAATTAATCATCAATTAATTAATAATAATTAATGATCGATTAATTATTCCTGAATTTCGCTGTTTTTTCCCCCCATTTTGGGCGCTGGAAATTTGGGGATTTTGGGGGGAAAATGGGAAATTTGGGGATTTTGGGGGGAAAATGGGAAATTTTGGGGATTTTGGGGGGAAAATGGGAAATTTTGGGGATTTTGGGTGAATTTTGGGTCCCAACCTTGGGCAGAGAAAAGCTCGGGGTCGAATCCGGGGGAGCCCCGCAGGTCCTGCTGCAGCTGCCGGGCACAGAACTGGGGAAAATGGGGAAAAAACGTCAGGAAATGGGAAAAATGGAACTAAAAATGGGGAAAAATGTCAGGAAATGGGAAAAATGGGGAAAAATGGGGAAAAATGGAACTAAAAATGGGGAAAAATGGAACTAAAAATGGGGAAAAAATGGGGAAAAAACGTCAGGAAATGGGAAAAATGGAACTAAAAATGGGGAAAAACGTCAGGAAATGGGGAAAATGGAACTAAAAATGGGGAAAATCCAAACAGAACTGGGGAAAAATGGGGGAAAACATCAGGAAATGGGAAAAATCCAAACAAAAATGGGGAAAAACGTCAGGAAATGGGAAAAATGGAACTAAAAATGGGGAAAATCCAAACAGAACTGGGGAAAAATGGGGGAAAACGTCAGGAAATGGGGAAAATGGAACTAAAAATGGGGAAAATGGAACTAAAAATGGGGAAAAACGTCAGGAAATGGGAAAAATGGAACTAAAAATGGGGAAAATCTAAACAAAAATGGGGAAAAATGGGGAAAAAAACGTCAGGAAATGGGGAAAATGGAACTAAAAATGGGGAAAAACGGGGGAAAAACGTCAGGAAATGGGGAAAATGGAACTAAAAATGGGGAAAAACGTCAGGAAATGGGGAAAATCTAAACAAAAATGGGGGAAAATGGGGAAAAACATCAGGAAATGGGAAAAATCCAAACAGAAATGGGGAAAAACGTCAGGAAATGGGGAAAATGGAACTAAAAATGGGGAAAATCAGTCAGGAAATGGGAAAAATCCAAACAGAAATGGGGGAAAACGTCAGGAAATGGGGGAAAAATGGAACTGGAAATGGGGGAAAATGTCAGGAAATGGGAAAAATGGAACTAAAAATGGGGAAAAAGGTCAGGAAATGGGAAAAATGGAACTAAAAATGGGAAAAATGGGGAAAAAGGTCAGGAAATGGGAAAAATCCAAACAAAAATGGGGAAAAAGGTCAGGAAATGGGAAAAATGGAACTAAAAATGGGAAAAATGGAACTAAAAATGGGGAAAAATGGAACTAAAAATGGGGAAAATCTAAACAAAAACGGGGAAAATCTGTCAGGAAATGGGGAAAAACGTCAGGAAATGGGAAAAATCCATCAAAAATGGGGGAAATCTGTCAGGAAATGGGAAAAATGGAACTAAAAATGGGGAAAAACATCAGGAAATGGGAAAAATCCAAACAGAAATGGGGGAAAACGTCAGGAAATGGGAAAAATGGAACTAAAAATGGGGAAAAATGGGGGAAAAATGTCAGGAAATGGGAAAAATGGAACTAAAAATGGGGAAAAATCCAAACTGAAATGGGGAAAAACGTCAGGAAATGGGAAAAAATGGAACTAAAAATGGGGAAAACGTCAGGAAATGGGAAAAATGGAACTAAAAATGCGGGGAAACGTCAGGAAATGGGGAAAATGCATCAAAAATGGGAAAAAAACGTCAGGAAATGGGAAAAATCCATCAAAAATAGGGGAAATCTGGCAGGAAATGGGGGAAATGCATCAAAAATGGGGGAAATCCAAACAGAAATGGGGGAAATCCAAACAGAAATGGGGGGAAAACGTCAGGAAATGGGAAAAAATGGGGAAAATGGAACCGAAAATGGGGAAAATGGAACCAAAAATGGGGAAAATGGAACCAAAAATGGGGAAAAACGTCAGGAAATGGGGAAAATGCAACCAAAAATGGGGAAAATGGGGGAAATCCGTCAGGAAATAGGAAAAAATGGGGAAAATCCATCAAAAAATGGGGAAAATCCGTCAGGAAATGGGAAAAATGCATCAAAAATGGGGGAAATGGGGGGAAAACGTCAGGAAATGGGAAAAATGCATCAAAAAATGGGGAAAATCCATCAAAAATGGGGGGAAATGGGGGAAAAACGTCAGGAAATGGGGAAAATGCAACCAAAAATGGGGAAAATGGAACTAAAAATGGGGAAAATCCATCAGGAAATGGGGAAAATGCATCAGAAAATCGGGAAAATGCATCAAGAATGGGGAAAATTTGTCAGGAAATGGGAAAAATGGGGGGAAATGGGGAAAAATGGGGAAAATTCATCAGAAAATGGGGAAAATTGGCTTTGATGCTGATTTTCTGGGGGTTCCAATAAAGATTTGGAGCCTAAATTCCATTTTTTGTGTGTTTGAGGAGGCGGGGAAAGGATTCCAAGGGGATTTTTTTGGGAGAAAATTCCGGAATTTGGGGTGAATTCCAGGATTTTTTTTGGATAAATTTCAAGATTTTGGGGTGAATTTCTGGAATTTTGGGAGAATTTCAGGATTTTGGGTGAATTTGAGGATTTTTTTGGGTAAATTCCAGGATTTTTGGGCGAATTTCTGGAATTTTGGGTGAATTCCAGGATTTTGGGTGAATTTCTGGAATTTTGGGTGAATTTCAGGATTTTGGGGTGAATGTCAGGATTTTTGGGTGAATTCCAGGATTTTGGGTGAATTTCAGGATTTTTTGGGGTGAATTTCTGGAATTTTGGGATTTTTTTTTTTTGGGTGAATTTCAGGATTTTGGGTGAATTTCTGGTATTTTGGGATTTTTTTGGGGGTGAATTTCAGGATTTTTGGGTGAATTTCTGGAATTTTGGGATTTTTTTGGGGGGTGAATTTCAGGATTTGGGGTGAAATTCAGGATTTGGGGGTGAATTTCTGGAATTTTAGGATTTTTTTGGGGGGTGAATTTCAGGATTTGGGGTGAAATTCAGGATTTTTGGGGCGAATTTCAGGATTTTTGGGGTGAATTTCAGGATTTTGGGGTGAATTTACCTGGAAGCTGGAGAGGAGGAGGAGGGAGAGGCGCTGAACTTCAGGGAGCTCCAGGCTGATGGATTGGCTCAAGTCTGGCACAAAAAGGGTTAAAAATGGCGACCCCCCCCCCCCCTTCCCAAGAGCGGATTTTGATGCAAAGCGCCCTAATTAAGGGTTTTAATGAGGTTAATGAGGTTAATGAGGTTAATGAGGTTAATGAGGCCTCACCGGTGACCTCGCGGTGCACGGGGGGCAGCGAGCGGCGCCGGGAGCGGCGCCCCTGGAGGCTGGAGCGGCGCCAGGAGCGGCGGCGGCGCTGAGGGGAGGAGGCGGCGGGAACCGGCGACAAACGGAGCGAATGCGGCTCCTGGCCGGGGCTGAACGGGGAGCTCGGGGCGCCCTTTCCACTGGGAGGTTTTAAAATCACCTCAGAGGCCGCGCCTGAGGGGAAAAGAGGAGAAATTGAAAGGTTAATAGTCAGAAAATGGTTATAAAAATGCTCCTCAGCAGCCACTGCCGAGGCCGCGCCTGAGGGGAAGCCGAGTCTGGGTCTGAGGGGAAAAGAGGAGAAATCAGCAAAAAAAAAGGGAAAAAGAGAATTTTGGACTTTCGGTTTCTGAATCCATGAGAGGAGATGATTGTGGAAAACGCCAAGCACTTTTTTCCCTAAATTTTGAAAGTTTAATAGTGAGAAAATGGTTATAAAAATGCTCCTCAGCAGCCGCTGCCGAGGCCGCGCCTGAGAGGAAAAGAGACTCGGTGAGGCCCGGGCTGCTCTCCCCGCTCTGAGTTTCTTGATTCCATGAGAGGGTGAAAAGCAGCAAACGCTTGCTTTTCAAAGTATTAAACGCTTGGGCTTTAAAAGTAATAAAACGGCTAAAAGTATTCTGGTTAAATGGTTAAAAGTTTTAAACGCTGGCCCTGAGGGGAGGAGGCGGGAACCGGCGACAAACGGAGCGAATGCGGCTCCTGCCCGGGGCTGAACGGGGAGCTCGGGGCGCCCTTTCCGCTGGGAGCTTGGAAAATCGCCTCAGAGGCCGCGCCTGAGGGGAAAAGAGGAGAAATTGAAAGGTTAATAGTAATAAAACGGTTATAAAAATGCTCCTCAGCAGCCACTGCCGAGTCTGGGTCTGAGGGGAAGCCGAGTCTGGGTCTGAGGGGAAAAGAGGAGAAATCAGCAAAACAAAAAAGGGAAAAAGAATTTTGGACTTTTGGTTTCTGAATGCATGAGAGGAAATGATTGTGGAAAACGCCAAGCACTTTTTTCCCTAAATTTTGAAAGTTTAATAGTGAGAAAATGGTTATAAAAATGCTCCTCAGCAGCCGCTGCCGAGGCCGCGCCTGAGGGGAAAAGAGACTCGGTGAGGCCCGGGCTGCTCTCCCCGCTCGGAGTTTCTTGACTCCATGAGAGGGTGAAAACCAGGAAACGCTTGTTTTCCAAAGTATTAAACTCTTGTGGTTTAAAAGTAATAAAACGGTTAAAAGTCTTCTGGTTTAATGGTTAAAAGTTTTAAACGCCGGCCCTGAGGGGAGGAGGCGGGAACCGGCGACAAACGGAGCGAATGCGGCTCCTGGCCGGGGCTGAACGCGGCTCTTTGCGTCCTGCCGGGGGAGCTCGGGGCGCCCTTTCCGCTGGGAGCTTGGAAAATCGCCTCAGAGGCCGCGCCTGAGGGGAAAAGAGGAGAAATTGAAAGGTTAATAGGGAGAAAATGGTTATAAAAATGCTCCTCAGCAGCCGCTGCCGAGGCCGCGCCTGAGGGGAAGCCGAGTCTGGGTCTGAGGGGAAAAGAGGAGAAATCAGCAAAACAAAAAAGGGAAAAGGAGAATTTTGGACTTTCGGTTTCTGAATCCATGAGAGGAGATGATTGTGGAAAACGCCAAGCATTTTTTTTCCTAAATTTCGAAAGTTTAATAGTAAAGAAATGGTTATAAAAATGCTCCTCAGCAGCCGCTGCCGAGCCCGCGCCTGAGGGGAAGCCGAGTCTGGGTCTGAAGGGAAAAGAGGAGAAATCAGCAACAAAAAAGGAGAAAAAGAGAATTTTGGACTTTCGGTTTCTGAATCCATGAGAGGAGATGATTGTGGAAAACGCCAAGCATTTTTTTTCCTAAATTTTGGAAGTTTAATAGTAAGAAAATGGTTATAAAAATGCTCCTCAGCAGCCGCTGCCGAGGCCGCGCCTGAGGGGAAAAGAGACTCGGTGAGGCCCGGGCTGCTCTCCCCGCTCGCAGTTTCTTGATTCCATGAGAGGGTGAAAACCAGGAAACGCTTGTTTTTCAAAGTATTAAACGCTTGGGCTTTGAAAGTAATAAAACGGCTAAAAGTATTATGGTTAAATGGTTAAAAGTTTTAAACGCCGGCCCTGAGGGGAGGCGGGAACCAGCGACAAACGGAGCGAATGCGGCTCCTGCCCGGGGCTGAACGGGGAGCTCGGGGCGCCCTTTCCGCTGGGAGCTTGGAAAATCGCCTCAGAGGCCGCGCCTGAGGGGAAAAGAGGAGAAATTGAAAGGTTAATAGGGAGAAAATGGTTATAAAAATGCTCCTCAGCAGCCGCTGCCGAGGCCGCGCCTGAGGGGAAGCCGAGTCTGGGTCTGAGGGGAAAAGAGGAGAAATCGGCAAAAAAAAGGGAAAAGGAGAATTTTGGACTTTCGGTTTCTGAATGCAGGAGAGGAGATGATTGTGAAAAACGCCAAGCATTTTTTTGCCTAAATTTTGAAAGTTTAATAGTAAGGAAATGGTTATAAAAATGCTCCTCAGCAGCCGCTGCCGAGTCTGGGTCTGAGGGGAAGCCGAGTCTGGGTCTGAGGGGAAAAGAGGAGAAATCAGCAAAAAAAAAGGTAAAAAGAATTTTGGACTTTCGGTTTCTGAATCCATGAGAGGAGATGATTGTGAAAAACGCCAAGCACTTTTTTTCCTAAATTTTGGAAGTTTAATAGTAAGAAAATGGTTATAAAAATGCTCCTCAGCAGCCGCTGCCGAGGCCGGGTCTGAGGGGAAAAGAGGAGGAATCAGCAAAAAAAAAGGAAAAAAAGACTTCGTGATGGCCGGGCTGTGCTGCCCGCTAAGGATTTCTTGATCCATGAGAGGGTAAAAACCGTCAATCAGCTGGTTTTAAAATTTTTAAAGTTTAATTTTAATAAAATTATTTTAAAATCCCTTCAGCGTCCGCTGCCGAGTTTGGTTCTGAGGGGAAAAGAGGAAAAATCAGGGCAGAAAAAGGGGAAAAGAGACTCGGTGATACCCGGGCTGCGCTGCCCGCTCGGGATTTCTTGATCCATGAGGGGAAACGATTGAGAAAAACTTGTTTTTAAAATGTTAGAAGTTTAATAGTAAGAAAATGATTTTAAAATCCCCTCAGTGTCCGCTGCTGAGGCCGGGTCTGAGGGGAAAAGAGGAAAAATCAGGACAGGAAAAGGAGAAAAGAGTCTCGGTGATACCTGGGGCTGCGCTGCCCGCTCGGGGTTTCTTGATCCATGAGGGGAATTGATTGAGAAAAACTTGTTTTTAAAATATTAGAAGTTTAATAGTAATAAAATGGTGATAAAAATGCTCCTCAGCAGCCACTGCCGAGTCTGGGTCTGAGGGGAAAAGAGGAGAAATCAGAAAAAAAAAAGGGAAAAAGAGACTCGGTGATACCCGGGCTGCTCGGGGTTACTTGATCCATGAGAAGGTAAACAACGTCAATCAGTTGGTTTTAAAATTTTTAAAGTTTAATAGTAAGAAAATGATTTTAAAATCCCCTCAGCGTCCGCTGCTGAGGCCGGGTCTGAGGGGAAAAGAGGAGAAATCAGCGCAAAAAAGGGGAAAAGAGACTCGGTGATACCCGGGCTGTGCTGCCCGCTCGGGATTTCTTGATCCATGAGGGGAAATGATTGAGAAAAACTTGTTTTTAAAATGTTAGAAGTTTAATAGTAATAAAACGGTTATAAAAATGCTCCTCAGCAGCCACTGCCGAGTCTGGGTCTGAGGGCAAAAGAGGAGAAATCAGCGCAAAAAAGGGGAAAAGAGACTCGGGAATACCTGGGGCTGCGTTGCCCGTTCCGGGTTTCTTGATTCATGAGAGAATATGGTTTTATCAAGGATTTCAGAGCGCTGAACGTGGCTTTTGTGGTTTTATTTTTAAGCGAGAGTTCAGTCAAATCCTGGAGGTTTTGGGATTTCTCGGGAACATCCTGGAATTTACCCAACAATTCTGGGATTTTTTGGGGGACTTCCAGAGCCTTAAAATCCCAAAGTTGCCCCAAAATCCTGGAATTTTCAAGGCTGGAGAAAATCCAAAATTCCACCAAATCCAACTCCCAAGCCCCAAAATCACCCAAACCAGCTCCTCCCACCACACAGAGCTGCGATTTCTCTCCCTGCCCTTACCTGGCGCGACTCCTCCGCTCTCAGGGCTGGCTCCGCCGGGGCACCCCTGAGGGGAGAAACCATTACCAGCCTGAAACCGCGGCCACCCCGCGGCTCCCCCGGCCGGGCCGTGTCCTTCCGGCGCTCACCTCATCCTCCTGTGGCCCGGCCGAACCCCGCGGGGACGGGGACGGGGCCGCGGCCGGACCGGGGGAGCCGCCGGCTCCCGCCGCTGCCTCCGCCATGGCGGTTTCCCGCCACTCGCTTGCCCTCAGCGCTTGCGCATGCGCGGAGCCCGCTCCGGCTTCGCCGCCATCACGGAGCAGGCGCGGGGCGGTGCCTGCCCTCACAGCGGGCGCAGAGTCCGCTCCACCCTTCCCGCCCCTCACCATCTTCCCGCCCTTTTCCCACCCTTCACCATCTTCCCGACCTTTTCCCCACCTCCACGGTGTTCCCACCCTTTTCCCATCCCTCACACTCTTTCCACCCCTCACACTCGTCCCGCCCTTTTCCTACTGCCACGCTGTTCCCACCATTTTCCCACCCCTCACACTCTTCCCGCCATTTTCCCCCCCCTCACGCTCTTCCCACCCTTTTCCCACCCCTCACAGCGTTCCTGCCATTTTCCCACCCCTCACAGCGTTCCTGCCATTTTCCCACCCCTCACAATCTTTCCACCCTTTTCCCACCCCTCACCCTTCCCACCCTTTTCCTCCCCCTCACAGTGTTCCTGCCATTTTCCCACCCCTCACGTCCTTCCCGCCATTTTCCCACCCCTCACACTCTTCCCGCCATTTTCCCACCCCTCACGTCCTTTCCGCCCTTTTCCCACTCCTCACCCTTCCCGCCATTTTCCCACCCCTCACACTCCTTCCGCCATTTTCCCACCCCTCACACTCTTCCCTCCATTTTCCCACCCCTCACACTCTTCCCTCCATTTTCCCACCCCTCACGTCCTTCCCTCCATTTTCCCACCCCTCACACTCTTCCCGCCATTTTCCCACCCCTCACACTCTTCCTGCCATTTTCCCACCCCTCACGTCCTTCCCGCCATTTTCCCACCCCTCACACTCTTCCCGCCATTTTCCCACCCCTCACGTCCTTTCCGCCCTTTTCCCACTCCTCACCCTTCCCGCCATTTTCCCACCCCTCACACTCCTTCCGCCATTTTCCCACCCCTCACACTCTTCCCTCCATTTTCCCACCCCTCACACTCTTCCCTCCATTTTCCCACCCCTCACGTCCTTCCCTCCATTTTCCCACCCCTCACACTCTTCCCGCCATTTTCCCACCCCTCACACTCTTCCTGCCATTTTCCCACCCTCACGTCCTTCCCGCCATTTTCCCACTCCTCACCCTCTCCCCTCCATTTTCCCACCCCTCACGCTCTTCCCTCCATTTTCCCACCCCTCACATCTTTCCCTACATTTTCCCACCCCTCACGTCCTTCCCTCCATTTTCCCACCCCTCACACTCTTCCCGCCATTTTCCCACCCCTCACAATCTTTCCGCCATTTTCCCACCCCTCACGTCCTTCCCTCCATTTTCCCACCCCTCACGTCCTTCCCTCCATCTTCCCACCCCTCACACTCTTCCCTCCATTTTCCCACCCCTCACACTCTTCCCTCCATTTTCCCACCCCTCACGTCCTTCCCACCATTTTCCCACCCCTCACGAACATCGCGCCCACAGAGCCCAAACCTGAGAGAAAAAAAAAATCAGGAGAAAATGGGAAAAAAAAGGAAAAAAAAAAAAGGCTTTGGAAATTTATTTTCTTGGATGAAATCTCACCTGAAAGGGGCGGACTCTGAGAGCAGCACCAGAAAGGCACAAACCCCCTCGAATTCCCATAGGGAAATCCCGTGGTTTGGCCGTTTTGTGGTAAATTTGGGGTTTTTCATTTTATTTTTGCACTTTTTCCATCAGAAAAAGTGATGCTGTGGGATTTCCCGATCTGAAATCCCTTGGAATGACACCAGTGGAAGGTCCGGCCTGCGAGCAACGTTCAGTGAGAAGTTTGGTGAAGCGGCTTTTCCATTAATTGGCACAATTAATTAAGAAAAATTTCTTATAGAATTCTCTCTAGAATTTCCTACAGAAATTCCCTGTAGAAAATTCCAATACAGAGAACATCCAATTACAATAGGAAGGGTTTAACTCACCTAGAACCAAAATCCCAGCGTAAAAAAACAGACAAAAAATAAAATAAATCCATTTTTTTCCACTGTAAAACTGGAGAAAAACGCCAAGACTTTTTTTTTTTCCCTTCTTCTTCAGGTTCTTTGTGTAAAATCCAAAGATTTTCCTTAAAAACATGGAATTTTCTGAGGCGAAGTGAAGTTATAAATAATTGAGAGGTAGAGGTGTGGCTGCCATCACAATCTATTGGCTCGTTCTGAGGTAATTCATTAATTGGAAGTCAATCATTCTATCGGCCCGGGATTAATTAGCGTTAATTGACCTCTGTCCTCTCTCAAAAAGGTCCTTGAATTAAAAATTAAAGAAGTTTGAATTCTTTAATTGGAGGCGTCGCTGCCCGGGTCGGTGATGGACGAGGGGGTGGCGGCGTCCGGCCAGCTGCCATTGGCCTGAGGGAAAAGCATTATTAATTAATGAAATTAATTAACAATTAAAGAATTAATGTATCCATTTGAAATTAATAAAGAAGAAAAGAAATACTCATAATGATAAATAAATAAAATCATAATATTTTAGAATCTTATGATTATATAACATTAAATTGTAATATATAATACCATATATAATATATACCACATATAATATACCACATATAATATACCACATATAATATACCATATATAATATATAATATATAATATATAATATATAATATATAATATATAATATATTACATATATGATGTAAAATATAATACTTAATATTTAAATCTCATAAAATTTATATAATAAGTTGTATGCAAATATAATTTATCTATATTATAATTATATTTTAAATAGCAAATAATATTAAATGTGCTAAAACTTTAAAGATTTTCCAGCTTTTCCACCCATCCCAACACCGGCTATATTGGAAGAAATACAAAAAAATCAAAATAAAAAATGATAAAAAATTAAAATTAATTCAAATTAAAAAAAAATAAATTAAAAAATTTGAATTTCTTGAGAATATTTAGGAATGAAATCCCCACTGACCTCGAGGGGCCTGCGTGGAGAACAAAGAACGGCCCAGGAGGGGCTCCAGGCTCCCCGGCTGCTGCAGGAAACCCACCTGGAAATGGGGCAAAAATGGGCAAAAATGGACAAAAATGGGCAAAAAATGGGCAAAAAGCTCTGAAATGGGAATGTCCCAGTCAGAGCTTTCATGGCAGTAAAGGATTGGAGAATTGGGGAAGAAAAAAAGGGGAATTTGAATGGGAATTTGATGTGAAAATTGGGGATTTATGGGGTTAATAATGGGAATTTGAATGGGAATTTGAATGGGAATTTTATGTGAAAATAGGGGAATTATGGGGTTAAAAATGAGGATTTTAATGGGAATTTGATGTGAAAATAGGGGAATTATGGGTTAAATAATGGGAATTTTAATGGGATTTTTATGTGAAAATAGGGGAATTATGGGGTTGATAATGAGGATTTTAGTGGGAATTTTAATGGGAATTTGAGGGGGAATTTTAATGGGAATTTTATGTGAAAATAGGGGATTTATGGGTTTAATAATGAGGATTTTAATGGGAATTTTAATGGCAATTTTCCCCCATTTTCCACGGCAGAAATTTGGATTTTTCCCCATTTTCCCCCCATTTTCCAATAACAGAAATTTGGATTTTTTTCCCAGTTTTTCCCATTTTTTCCCCTTTTTCCCCATTTTCCATAACAGAAATTTGGATTTTTCCCCATTTTTTTTCCCATTTTTTTCCTCATTTTCAGGGCAGAAATTTGGATTTTTTCCCCATTTTCCATAACAGAAATTTGGATTTTTTCCCATTTTTTCCCCATTTTCCATAACAGAAATTTGGATTTTCTCCCATTTTTCCTCATTTTCTATAACTTAAATTTGAATTTCCCCCCATTTTCCATAACACAAATTTGGATTTTCCCAATTTTTGTCCCATTTTCAGTGCAGAAATTTGGATTTTCTCCCATTTTCCCCCATTTTCCATAACAGAAATTTGGATTTTTTCCCATTTTTCCCCATTTCCTCACCTGCACACTGGGAGGGCTCTGGAAGGGGCCCAGGGGCTCCAGGCTCAGGAAAGGATCCCCCAGAATTCTTCATCTTCAGGGACCCGAGGAGGCTGAGAAACACCAAAAATGGACCCAAAATGACCCCAATTAAACCAGAACAGCAGCCTCATTAATTAGCCCGGGGTTAATTGGGGTTTGGCCCCGCCCACCTGAGCCGGGGAGGAGCCCTGGGAGCCCAAATGAACCAAAATAAATCAAAATAAACCCCAAAAAAACTGAAATAAACCAAAAAGAAACCCCAAAATAACTGAAATTAAAGAGCAATAGCAGCTCATTAATTATCTCCGGGTTAATTGGGGTTTGGCCCCGCCCACCTGAACAGGGGGAGGAGCCCTGGGAGCCCAAATGAACCAAAATAAACCAGAATAAACCAAAAAAACTGAAATAAACCCCAAATAAACCCCAAAATAACTGAAATTAAAGAGCAATAGCAGCTCGTTAATTAGCCCTGGGTTAATTGGGGTTTGGCCCCGCCCACCTGAGCAGGGGGAGGAGCCCTGGGAGCCCAAATGAACCCAAATATATCAAAATAAACCCAAAAAAACCTGAAATAAACCAAAAATAAACCCAAAATAACTGAAATTAAAGAGCAATAGCAGCTCATTAATTAGCCCGGGGTTAATTGGGGTTTGGCCACGCCCACCTGAGCAGGGGGAGGAGCCCTGGGAGCCAAAAGGAACCCAAATAAATCAAAATAAACCCAAAAAAAACCCAAATAAACCCAAATTAAAGCAAAAATAAACCAAAAAAAACCCCAAAATGAACCCAAAATAAACCCAAAATAACTGAAATTAAAGAGCAGTAGCAGCTCATTAATTAGCCCTGGGTTAATTGGGGTTTGGCCCCGCCCACCTGAACAGGGGGAGGAGCCCTGGGAGCCAAAATAACCCCAAAATAAACCCAAATGAACCCAAATAAACCCAAAATTAACCCAAAATGACCCAAATAAACCCAAAATAACTGAAATTAAAGAGCAATAGCAGCTCATTAATTAACCCCAGTGTTAATTAAGATTTAGCCCCGCCCACCTGAGCCGAGGATGGAAAGGGAGGAGGAGCCCTGGGAGCCAAAAGGAACCAAAATAAATCAAAATAAACCCAAAATAAACCCAAAAAATCCCAAACTAAAGAGCAATAGCCACTCCCCATTGCTCCCAGCAGCTCATTAATTAGCCCGGTGTTAATTAAGCTTTAGCCCCGCCCACCTGAGCAGGGGGAGGAGCCCTGGGAGCCCAAATGAACCCAAATAAATCAAAAATAAACCAAAAATAACCCCAAAATTAACCCAAAAAACCCCAAATTAAAGAGAAATAGCCACTCCCCATTGCTCCCAGCAGCTCATTAATTAGCCCGGTGTTAATTAAGCTTTAGCCCCGCCCACCTGAGCAGGGGGCGGGGCCCTGGGAGCCAAAATGAACCCAAATAAATCAAAAATAACCCAAAATAACCCCACAAAAAGCCCAAAATAAGGAGCAATAGCCACTCCCCATTGATCCCAGCAGCTCATTAATTAACCCAGTGTTAATTGGGGTTTGGCCCCGCCCACCTGAACAGGGGGAGGAGCCCTGGGAGCCCAAAATGAACCCAAATAAACCCAAAATTAACCCAAAAACCCCCAAAATAAGGAGCAATCCCAACTGCCCATTGCTCCCAGCAGCTCATTAATTAACCCAGTGTTAATTAAGCTTTAGCCCCGCCCACCTGAGCCGAGGTAGGAAAGGGAGGAGGAGCCTGGGAGCCCAAATGAACCAAAATAAATCAAAATTTATCCAAAAAAACCCACAAAAACCCCAAATTAAAGAGCAATCCCAACTCCCCATTGCTCCCAGCAGCTCATTAATTAACCCAGCGTTAATTAAGCTTTAGCCCCGCCCACCTGAGCAGGGGGAGGAGCCCTGGGAGTCCAAATGAACCCAAATATATCAAAATAAACCCCAAATAAACCCAAATTAAACCAAAAATAAACCAAAAAAACCCCAAAATGAACCCAAAATAACCCAAAATGACCCCAATTAAAGAGCAATAGCAGCTCATTAATTAGCTCTGGGTTAATTGGGGTTTGGCCCCCGCCCACCTGAGCAGGGGGAGGAGCCCTGGGAGCCCAAACGAACCCAAATAACCCCCAAAATTAACCCAAAAAACCCCCCAAACTAAAGAGCAATAGCCACTCCCCATTGCTGCCAGCAGCTCATTAATTAGCCCAGTGTTAATTAGGATTTAGCCCCCGCCCACCTGCGCAGGGGGAGGAGCCCTGGGAGCCCAAATGAACCCAAATAAATCAAAAATAAACCAAAATAACCCCAAAATTAACCCAAAAAACCCCAAATTAAAGAGAAATAGCCACTCCCCATTGCTCCCAGCAGCTCATTAATTAGCCCGGTGTTAATTAAGCTTTAGCCCCGCCACCTGCGCAGGGGGCGGGGCCCCGGCTGCCCCCGTAGGCCTGGGCCTCCTCCTGGAACCGCCCCATGTTCTTCTTGTAGCGAATGCGCTTGTTCCCAAACCAGTTGGAGACCTGGGGGGAAAACCCCGAAAATGGGGGAAAATGGGGATTTTTGGGGAGAAAATGGGGAATTTTGGGGATTTTTTGGATAGAAAATGGGATTTTTCTGGACTAAAATGGCATTTTTTTGGGATAAAATGGGATTTTTTCTGGGTTAGAATGGGTTTTCTTGGGTTAAAATGGCATTTTTTGGGGTTAAAATGGGATTTTTTGGGGTGGTTACAATGGGATTTTTTGGGGTTAAAATGGGATTTTTTGGGGTTTTAAAATGGCATTTATCAGGTTTAAAATGGGATTTTTCTGATTTAAAAATGGCATTTTTGGGATTTAAAATGGGGGTTTTAGGGTTAAACTGGGTTTTTTTGGGTTAAAAATGACATTTTGGGGGTTTTCCCCTGCAGAATGTGAAATGTCCCTGGGTTCAATGTTTGGGATGCGCTTGTTCCCAAACCAGTTGGAGACCTGGGGGAAAACCCAAAAAATGGGGAGAAAATGGGGGAAAATGGGGATTTTTGGGGAGAAAATGGGGTTTTGGGGGGTTAAAATGGGATTTTTCTGGGTTCAAATGGAGGTTTTTGGGGTTAAAATGGCATTTATCGGGCGTTAAAATGGGATTTTTCTGGGTTAAAACTTGGATTTTTCTGGGTTAAAATGAGATTTTTTTGGGGATAAAATGGGATTTTTCTGGGTTACAATGGGATTTCTGAGGGGGGGGTTACAATGAGTTTTCTTGAGTTAAAATGGGATTTTTTGGGGTTTTTTTGGGATAAAATGGGATTTTTCTGGGTTAGAATGGGTTTTCTTGGGTTAAAATTGGAATTTTTGGGGGTTAAAATGGGATTTTTTGGGGTGGTTACAATGGGATTTTTGGGGTTAAAATGGGATTTTTCTGGGTTACAATGGGTTTTTTTGGGTTAAAAATGGGATTTTTCTGGGTTCAAATGGAGGTTTTTGGGGTTAAAATGGCATTTATCGGGCGTTAAAATGGGATTTTTCTGCGGTTAAAATGAGATTTTTTGGGGATAAAATGGGATTTTTCTGGGTTACAATGGGTTTTCTGGGGTTAAAATGGGACTTTTTAGGGGGGGTTACAATGGGTTTTCTTGGGTTAAAATGGGATTTTTCTGGACTAAAATGGCATTTCTTGGGTTAAAATGGGATTTTTTTGGGAGGGTTACAATGGGGATTTTTGGGGTTAAAAATGGGGGTTTTTGGGGTTAAAATGGCATTTTTTGGGGGTTACAATGGATTTTTCTGGGTTACAATGGGATTGTTTGGGGTTAAAATGGGGTTTTCCCCGGGTTAAAATGGGATTTTTCCTGCAGAATTTGGAAAATGGGCTGAGGGAAATGGGGAAATTAAAAATAAAATCAAAACTTTTTTTGTTAGGGTTAAAATTGGTACAAATTCGGGGAATTTGCCGCCAAACTGCCGGGAATTGACCCCAAAATCCCAGGAATTTTCCCAAACTCTCTGGATTTTCCCCCAAATCGGATGGATTTTCCCAAAATCCCAGGAAATTGCCCAAAATCCTGGGAATTTTCCCAAATCCGGTGAATTCTCCCCAAATCCCAGGAATTTGCCCCAAAATTCCATAAATTTCCCAAAATCTGAGGAATTTCCTCCAAATGTGGATTCCTCCAAATTTTCCCCCAAATCTTTGAAATTTTGCCCCAAAATTCTGTGAATTCTCCCAAAATCCCAGGAATTTTCCCCAAAATCCCGTGAATTTTCCCCAAAAAATCCCAGGAATTTGCCCCAAAAATCTGATGAATTTTCCCCAAATCTGATGAATTTTCCCAAAATCCCAGGATTTCTCCCCCAAATCTCTGAATTTTCCCCAAAATCCCAAGATTTCACCCAAAATTCCCTGAATTTTCCCCAAAATCCCATGAATTTGCCCAAAATCCTGGGAATTTGCCCAAAGAAAACCCAGGAATTTCCCCAAAAGCCCCAGGAATTTCCCCAAAAAACCCCAGGATTTCGCCCCCAAATCTCTGAATTTTCCCAAATCCCAGGATTTCCCCCCCAAATCCTGTGAATTTTCCCAAATTCCATGAATTTTCCCCAAAATCCTGGGAATTTGCCCAAAGAAAACCCAGGAATTTCCCCCAAAATTCTGTGAATTTTTCCAAAAATCCCAGGATTTCACCCCCAAATCTCTGAATTTTCCCCCCAAATCTCTGAATTTTCCCAAAATTCCAGGAATTCTCCCCAAATCCAGGGATTCCCCTCACCTGGCAGACGCTGAGGCCGCCCCTCCGTGCCAGCTCCTCCTTGGCCGCCTCGCTGGGGTAGGGGCAGCTCAGGTGGGAATAGAAATATTCATTGAGGGCCTCGGTGGCTGCGCGGCTGAAATTGCGGCGCCTGCGCCTGGAAATGGGGAAAAATATAAAATATTGGGAAATAAATTAAATTATTGGGGGAAATAAATCAAATTATTGGGGTTAAATCCAAATATTGGGGGTTATTGGGGGGTAAAAATGGGAAAAAATCCAATTATTGGGTGAAATAAATCCATTTATTGGGGGTTTAATGGGAAATAAATCCAATTATTGGTGAAATAAATCCAATTATTTGGGTTAATTCATTAATCAATGAATTCAGAAATATCCATTGAGGGCCTCGGTGGCTGCGCGGCTGAAATTGCGGCGCCTGCGCCTAAAAATGGGGGAAAAATCAAAATATTGGGGTTAAATCAAATTATTGGGGGAAATAAATCAAATTATTGGGGGTTTATTGGGAAATAAATCCATTTATTGGGGTTAAATCCAAATATTCTGGGTTATTGGGGGGTAAAAATGGGAAATAAATCAAATTATTGGGTGAAATAAATCAAATTATTGGGGATTTAATGGGAAATAAATCCAATTATTGGGGTTAATTCATTAATCAATGAATTCAGAAATATTCATTGAGGGCCTCGGTGGCCGCGCGGCTGAAATTGCGGCGCCTGCGCCTAAAAATGGGGGAAAAATATAAAATATTGGGAAATAAAACAAATTATTGGGGTTAAATCCAAATATTGGGGGTTATTGGGGGATAAAAATGGGAAAAATGTCAAATTATTGGGAAAAAAAATGGGAAATAAATTCATTTATTGGGTGAAATAAATTCATTTATTGGGTCAAATAAATCCAATTATTGGGGCTTTATTGGGAAATAAAACCATTTATTGGGGTTAAATGGGAAAAAAATCAAATTATTGGGTAAAATATAATCCATAATCCATTGATTGGGGTTAATTTCATTAAGAAATGAATTCAGAAATATTCATTGAGGGCCTCGGTGGCTGCGCGGCTGAAATTGCGGCGCCTGCGCCTGGAAATGGGGAAAAATCAAAATATTGGGGGTTAAATCCAAATATTCTGGGTTATTGGGGGGTAAAAATGGGAAAAATGGCAAATTATTGGAAAAAAAATGGGAAATAAATTCATTTATTGGTGAAATAAATCCATTTATTGGGGGAAAGAAATCAAATTATTGGGGGTTTATTGGGAAATAAATCAAATTATTGGGGTTAAATGGGAAAAAAAATCAAATTATTGGGTAAAATATAATCCATAATCCAATTATTGGGGTTAATTTCATTAAGAAATGAATTCAGAAATATTCATTGAGGGCCTCGGTGGCTGCACGGCTGAAATTGCGGCGCCTGCGCCTAAAAATGGGGGAAAAAATCAAAATATTGGGAAAAAATCAAATTATTGGGGTTAAATCCAAATATTGGGGGTTATTGGGGGGTAAAAATGGGAAAAAATCCAATTATTGGGTGAAATAAATCCATTTATTGGGTGAAATATATCAAATTATTGGGGGTTAAATGGGAAAAAAATCCAATTATTGGGTGAAATAAATCCATTTATTGGGGGTTTATTGGGGGAAATAAATCCATTTATTGGGGGTTAAAAATGGGAAATGAATCCAATTATTGGGGTTAATTCATTAATCAATGAATTCAGAAATATCCATTGAGGGCCTCGGTGGCTGCGCGGCTGAAATTGCGGCGCCTGCGCCTAAAAATGGGGGGAAAATCAAAATATTGGTGAAATAAATCAAATTATTGAGGTTAAATGGGGAAAAAATTCATTGATTGGGTGAAATAAATCAAATTATTGGTGAAATAAATCAAATTATTGGGAGAAATAAATCCATTTATTGGGGGTTTATTGGAAATAAATTATTGGGAAATAAATCCATGTATTGGGTGAAATAAATCCAATTATTGGGGTTAATTTCATTAATCAATGAATTCAGAAATATTCATTGAGGGCCTCGGTGGCTGCGCGGCTGAAATTGCGGCGCCTGCGCCTAAAAATGGGGGAAAATATAAAATATTGGGAAATAATCAAATTATTGGGGGTTAATTTCATTAATCAATGAATTCAGAAATATTCATTGAGGGCCTCGGTGGCCGCGCGGCTGAAATTGCGGCGCCTGCGCCTAAAAATGGGGGAAAAATCAAAATATTGGGAAATAAATCAAATTATTGGGGTTAATTCATTAATCAATGAATTCAGAAATATTCATTGAGGGCCTCGGTGGCTGCACGGCTGAAATTGCGGCGCCTGCGCCTAAAAATGGGGAAAAAATCAAAATATTGGTGAAATAAATCAAATTATTGGGTGAAATAAATCCATTTATTGGGGTTAAATCCAAATATTCTGGGTTATTGGGGGGTAAAAATGGGAAATAAATCAAATTATTGGGTGAAATAAATCAAATTATTGGGGTTAAATGGGAAATAAATCAAGGGAAATAAATCCAAATATTCTGGGTTATTGGGGAGTAAAAATGGGAAAAAATCAAATAATTGGGAAATGAATCCAATTATTGGGGTTAATTCATTAATCAATGAATTCAGAAATATCCATTGAGGGCCTCGGTGGCTGCGCGGCTGAAATTGCGGCGCCTGCGCCTGAAAATGGGGGAAAAATCAAAATATTGGTGAAATAAATCAATTATTGGGGTTAAATCCAAATATTCTGGGTTATTGGGGGGTAAAAATGGGAAAAATGTCAAATTATTGGGGGTTTATTGGGAAATAAATCAAATTATTGGGAGAAATAAATCCATTTATTGGGGGTTTAATGGGAAATAAATTCATTTATTGGGTGAAATAAATCCAATTATTGGGGTGAAATAAATCAAATTATTGGGAAAAAAATTATTGGGTGAAATAAATCCATTTATTGGGGAAATAAATCCATTTATTGGGGGTTTATTGGGAAATAAATCAAATTATTGGGTGAAATAAATAAAATTATTTGGAAATGAATCCAATTATTGGGGTTAATTCATTAATCAATGAATTCAGAAATATTCATTGAGGGCCTCGGTGGCTGCACGGCTGAAATTGCGGCGCCTGCGCCTAAAAATGGGGGAAAAATATAAAATATTGGGAAATAATCCAAATATTCTGGGTTATTAGGGGGTAAAATTCCACATTTTCCACCAAATATCCACATTATTCTACTTTTGGAGGAACTTTTCCCCAGAATTCCCTCACCTGGTGTGGAGGAACCTGGACCTGAGCACCATGAGGGCCTCACAGGGGCTCTGCTTGAGCTGAGCTTGACATGGATGACACCAACCCAAAAATATTCACATTTTTCACCAAATATCCACATTTTTCCCCCAATCTCCACATTTTCCACCAAAACTTCACCATTGGAGGAACTTTTCCCCAGAATTCCCTCACCTGGTTCAGAGGAACCTGGACCTGAGCACCACGAGGGCCTCCCAGGAGCTCTGCTTGATCCGATCTTACCATGGATGACACCAACCCAAAAAATCCACATTTTTCACCAAAAATCCACATTTTTTCATCAAATATCCACATTTTTCACCAAAAATCCACATTTTTTCCCCAAAACCCCACAATAATTTGAGGATTTTTCTCCCAAAATCGTCTCACCTGGACCTGAGCACCATGAGGGCCTCGCACATGCTCTGCTTGAGCTGAGCTTGCCATGGATGGACGCCCACCAAAAAAATCCACATTTTTCACCAAAAATCCACATTTTTTCATCAAATCTCCACATTTTGCACCAAGACTCCACATTTTCCCGAAAAGCTCCCAATTTGAGGAGTTTTCCCCTAAAATTCCCTCACCTGGTGTGGAGGAACCTGGACCTGAGCACCATGAGGGCCTTGCATGTGCTCTGCTTGAGCTGAGCTTGACATGGTTGATGTCCACCAAAAATCCAAATTTTTCACCAAAAATCCACATTTTTGCCCCAAATATTCACATTTTTCACCAAAACTCCACATTTTTTCCCCCAAACCCCAATAATTTGAGGAATTTTTTCCCAAATTCCCTCACCTGGTGTGGAGGAACCTGGACCTGAGGACCATGAGGGCCTCCCAGGGGCTCGGCTTGAGCTGAGCTTGCCATAGATGATGTCCACCAAAAATCCAAATTTTTCACAAAAAATCCAAATTTTTGCCCCAAATATTCGCATTTTCCACCAAAAATCCACATTTTTCACCAAAAATCCACATTTTTTCCCCAAAACCCCAATAATTTGAGGATTTTTCTCCCAAAATGGTCTCACCTGGACCTGAGCACCATGAGGGCCTCACAGGGGCTCTGCTTGATCCGATCTTACCATGGATGGACGCCCACCAAAAAATCCAAATTTTTCCACCAAATCTCCACATTTTCCACCAAAACTCCACATTTTTTCCCCAAAACCCCAAAATTCGAGGAGTTTTCCCCCAAATTCCCTCACCGGGTGTGGAGGAACCTGGACCTGAGCACCATGAGGGCCTCCCAGGAGCTCTGCTTGAGCTGAGCTTGCAATGGATGACACCAACCCAAAAATCTCCACATTTTTCACCAAAAATCCACATTTTTCACCAAAACCCCACAATAATTTGAGGATTTTTCTCCCAAAATGGTCTCACCTGGACCTGAGCACCATGAGGGCCTCCCAGGGGCTCTGCTTGATCCGATCTTACCATGGATGACGCCCACCAAAAAATCCAAATTTTTCCACCAAAAATCCACATTTTTTCACCAACTATTGACATTTTTCCTCCAAAACCCCAATAATTTGAGGAATTTTCCCCCAAATTCCCTCACCTGGTGTGGGGGAACCTGGACCTGAGCACCATGAGGGCCTCGCAGGGGCTCTGCTTGATCCGATCTTACCATGATTGACACCAACCCAAAAAATCCACATTTTTCACCAAAAATCCACATTTTTTTCACCAAAAATCCACATTTTTCCTTCAAAAATCCAAACTTTTTCCCCAAAACCCCATAATTTGAGGAGTTTTCCCCAGAATTCCCTCACCTGGTGTGGAGGAACCTGGACCTGAGCACCATGAGGGCCTCGCAGGAGCTCTGCTTGATCCGATCTTACCATGGATGACGCCC